GTCAACATGGTGAAACGCCGTCTCTACTAAAAATACAAAAAGATTAGCTGGGCATGGTGGTGCGTGCCTGTAATCCCAGTTACTCAGGAGGCTGAGGCAGGAGAATTGCCTGAACCCAGGAGGCGGAGGCTGCGGTGAGCCGAGATCGCGCCATTGCACTCCAGCCTGGGTAACAAGAGCAAAACTCTGTCTCAAAAAAAAAAAAAGAATTTAATTGCACTTTGGCCGGGCACAGTGTCTCACGCCTATAATCCCAGCACTTTGGGAGGCCAAGGTGGGCAGATCAAGAGGTCAAGAGTTCGAGACCATCCTGACCAACATACTGAAACCCCATCTCTACTAAAAATACAAAAATTAGCATGGTGGTGCGCACCTGTAGTCCCAGCTGCTCGGAAGGCTGAGGCAGAGAATTGCTTGAACCTGGGAGGCAGAGGTTGTGGTGAGCCAAGATCACACCCCTGCTCTCTAGCCTGGGCAGCAGAGTGACACTCCATCTTAAAAATAATACTAATAGGGGATGGCTGAAAAGGCAGGGAGGTCCAGAGGCGGCTTGGGAGGGGCCGGGGGCCCAAAGCGCCCAGCAAGGCAGCTCTCCCAGGCCCTCTCTCCCCTCCAGACGCCGCTCAGACCTGGCCGCTGCCTAGCTCAGGAGTTTCGGGCCCGCTCCACATGGGGCACGAAATGAAAGACGTCGTCCCTGTACCAGAAGGAAAGTACTACTCTCATCAACGACAGAAAATTAAGGCCAAGTTAAATCTAGATGGAGTTTCGCTCTTTTGCCCAGGCTGGAGCTCAGCTACGCTATCTCGGCTCACTGCAACTTCCTCCTCCTGGATTCAAGCCATTCTCCTGCCTCAACTTCCCAAGTAGCTGGGACTACAGGCTAGAGTACAATGGCACAACCGCCTGCTCGCTGCAACCTCTGCCTCCTGGGTTCAAACAATTCTCCAATTCTCCTGCCTCAGCCTCCCTAATAGCTGGAATGACAGAGCAGCTGTCTTATTTCCTGAGAGGAACTGACCACTTCCATCTGATTATCAGGGACTGACTCCTGGAAGAAGTGAGCTTTGAGCTGTGCTTAAAGCTTCTCAAAGTCTCTACTGGATTCCCAGAATGAGAGCGGACGGTTTCCCACCTGGGCTGCTCAGAACTCCAGTCTCTCTCTGCCTGGGCGAGCTCCAGACGTAGTTCACCTGACAGCTCTCCAGTGGTTTTTGCCTGCGTGCCCCGTGGAGTTTCACCCTATGCCTGTCTGCCCAAGTAAACAGCAAAGACTCAAAGAGACCTCTCTGCAGGTTTCTGGAACTCTACCTCACAACACTCAGCCCCCTTGGCCTCTCTGACCCCTACACCTCCTTGACTCAGTAGATTCTGTTCAGCATCCCCCTCTTTGCATCCACAATCTGGTTATTTCCAGGAAGAAATGAGGGGCAAGTGGTCACCTTGTTTGTTTCAACTTCTTTTAGTAATTAAAGTCCTGTCCTACCTGAAAAAAAAAAAAATAATAATAATAATAAATAAATAAAATTAGGCATTGATTTTACTCATGTGTAGAATATACAGTGGTATATGCATAGGAAATTCACAGGAAGGAAGGAAGCTACTGGTACCAGTGACTGCCTCTGGGAAGAAGTGCTAAAACCGTATCTTGTTTCTGTAGTTGTTTGGATTGCTTTTTAATTGTGTGTGTGTGTGTGTGTGTGTGTGTGTGTGTGTGTGTGTGTGATCTTGTCAAAAGCAAAAACAACAATGAAATCTTCAAAAAGCAAACAGCACATGAAAACCCTGAGGGTTCCTCATTGCCCTCATTAGGATGGCCTCAGAAAACCTCTCAGCCTCTGTGGCTATTTGCATAAGCCCTTTCCTGGGTCAGGAAGGCCTCTCCCCAAGCCCAAACCCCTCTCACCAGCGAACCCCTTCTCCTCCAGGTCTCAGCTCAACTAGTCTCTCCAGAGAAGCCAACCTACCCCCGAAACTGGATTTTACACACACACTCACACACACACACACACACACTCCCTAACTCATTGTCTTCAAGACACAGCATGTATTACATGACATATTTACATTCGTTTATTTATCTCTCTCCCCCAAATTCTATCAGTTACCTAAGTTCAGGGACTGGGAATATCTCGGTTCCTGCCATGTCCCCAGCACCACCAATAATACTTGAAACATAAAGAATTAAAACTGGATGGCGTCCTGGCTCCCACCCCTGCCTTCCTCTCATTGTCCTTCTCATCCCTCTCGTGAGGAGGGGGAACAGGTTCTGTTTGTTTGTTTATTTATTTATTTTGAGACGGAGTTTCACTCTTGTTGCCCAGGCTGGAGTGCAATGGCACAATCTCCACTCACCGAAACCTCCACCTCCGG